AAAAGGAAGGCTTTAACATAGTAAAATTATATATAACAGTTATTAAGCAAGAATTACAGTTATAATATTATATCTATTTTATCTTTTATCATAACAAAGGAAAACCATAACTATCTATCCATTCTTCAACTCCATCAAAGACTCTAGAAGAATATAATATTACCTAAGTAACAAGAAGCAAGAAGCTTTCAAAACTCTAGAAATGACAGAGACATCTCTCTGCCTGTATAGTCACCCAAAGTTCTTTTGTACCATTGGGGCATCCATCTTCAGCCTTTAGGCCCATAGTATCCAGTAGACATTTCCATGAAGCAGGAAATTTTAAAGATAGTTCAGTCACTTTCTTTTGTATCCTGCAGAATGTCTCGCAGACTCTTTCATGAATTAGGAACCCCAAAGGATCATCTCACCTTTAGGCAAGTTCAGCAGTCCTCTCTCTGCAGGTTCTTTGTGTCCAGTTTATGCAACAGTCCAGGCAAGAGCAGTTTCTTGCCCAAATGGCTATCAAACTCCATAAGGAGCCTCTTCAATGCCCATCTTTCTCAGGAAGTAGCTTGGTGCTGCCAGGAGCAGACGTGTCTCACTGTCATGAACAGCCCTAAGTTATTGAAACATTAAATGCCAAATTCTGTAGTCTTTGAAAGAAATGAAGAATGCCTATCTAACTGAAATATAGCTCTATATATCTAGAAAATCTAACTAACATGACTACAAGCTTGACTGTTATCGATGATTATCCATCAACAACCTATATTTCCTAATTATACATTACATTTTTAAACGAACTACACAATCATAAAACCTTAATCAAGATCAGAAATACATGTACATATAACAAAATTTATACCAATGTAAATTATTCATATCTATATCATATCCCCCTTTAAATGTAAAAGAACATTTATAAACAATATTTGGGAATATGGGCCCAGTTATTTCTCTCAGTCAGGACTTGATCATAACTCTAAATTTTCTTTAGGTACCCATAAGATCATCAGCATCCCCAACCAGCAAGAAGTAGCCTGGAATACTATGCCCACATTTTCAAAAAATTGGACTATGGATATTCTTTTCTGTTTTTTGCTTTTTTTAAAAAAAAGGGGGGAAGTGGTGTGGAACAATTCTGTATCTGTCAATTATGTTTAAATAAAAGCTGATTGGCCAGGCAGGAAGTATAGGTGCATCAACCAGACAGGAAGCAGAGGCGGGGCAATGAGAACAGGAGTATTCTGGAAAGAAGGAAGTTCTTTCCCCAGTTCTGCCCAGATCACCAAAGAAACAAGATGTGAGCTGCTCCACTGAGAAAGGTACTGAGCCATGTGTCTAACATAAATAAGAATAGTGGGTTAATATAAGCTACAGGAGCTAATAAGTAACCTGAGCTAGTGGGCCAATCAGTTTATAATCTTATGGAGACCTCTGTGTGATTTTCTTTGGGGCTAACTGGCTGTGGGGAACTGGGCAGGACATAAACCCCAACAAGCAGGCCCATGTCATGTTACACAGAGTACAGACAGTCATAGATTAAAGGAGTAAAGATAATAAAATAAATATTTAAAACTAATAGAGTAAAAACAAATAAGCCACATAAAGATGAAATATACAGAGAGAATCTGGATTATGTATATTATTGTGTTTTCTTTCAGTTTTTTTGACTGTGAAGGAGCTAAGTGCAGAGAGACATTTCATTGTATGGGCTCCTAAGCTAAACTAGCATATATATCTTAAGGGTTTCTTAACTTCAAAATATGCATCTTAGAATGTGTTGCTTTGGGAAAGAAGTTCTTCTTTTGTTTCCACAGAGGATAAGAACCTGTGGAATCCTTCTAGACTAATGTTGTTTAATGGAGCAAGATCCCCTGAAAGGTTGCCACAAACACCTCCCCCCAAAATTACTTTGCCCAACATAAAGCAGGAAGCAGTTTGGAGAGAACTATACCCATTTTCCCAAATATTGTCATAAATGTGTGTTTACATTTAAAGGGGGATATGCTAGAGATTTGCATTGGTATGGATCTTGGTTTATTGATATAAATATAGGGTCAAATTTGTTATATGTATATTTCTGCTCTTGATTAAGGTATTTTGTTTGTTTTGCCATTGCCATTTGGGTAAGAAACTGCTTTTGCCTAGACTGCTTGATGTTCTGCTGTGAACTAGACATGTAAGACCCACAGAAAAAAATGACTGCTGAACTTGTCCAAAAGTGAGATGTCCTTCAGGGTTCCTGTTTCATCAGAGAGTTTACAAGACACTCTACAGGATACAGAAGAAAGTGATTGGCAAACTGCCAATATAGGCAGAACTGTCTTTGAAATTTCCTGCTTCATGGAAAAGTCTGCTGGATACTATGGCTGAAGATGGATGTCCCAATGGTACAGAAGAACTTTGGGTGACTGTCCAGGCAGCAAGATGTCTCTGTCAATTCTAGAGTTTTGGAAGTTGTTTGCAATGTACTTCCTGCTTACTTAGGTAATATTATATCCTTCTGGAGTCTTTGATGGAGTTGAAGAATTTACAGTGATAGTTATAGTTTTTCTTAGATATGATAAAAGATAAAGTAGATATAAATATTGTAACATGTTTTATTATGTGTAATTTTACTGTGCTAAAGTGAAAACCTTCCTTTTTATTTAAACAGAAAAGGAGAGGTGTTGTAGGATTCCCCTCTGTATGCTGTGAATACCACTGATTAATACTGCTTTGTACATATTACAGGGCAGGTGTAGAAAACTAAACTGAATGCTGGAAAAAGGAAGGCAGAGTCAGGGGAGCTGCTGCTGGGAACAGACATGGCGAAAACTTGCTGGTGAAACCACGAGCCTCATATAAAAATATGAGGTAAAATATAAAATAATGGAAATGGGTTAATTCTAGATGTAAGAACTAGCTAGCAATAAGCTTAAGTAATCGGCCAAGCAGTGATTAAATTAATACGGTTTCTGTGTGGTTATTTCTGGAGTCTGGACAGATGGGAAACTAACAAACTGCTTCCTTACTATACTGCCTACTCCCTTGGAGGTCCCAGACTGACTGGCATGATTAGAGGAATATAGCAGACAATGGCAGTCAAAACAAAACAAAATTCACAGAGAGGGGCTAGGAGATGGCTCTTTTGATAAAGTACTTGCCTTGCAAGCTTATGGGCTTCAGGTTGGGTCCCTAGAACCCACCTTAAAAATCCTGACTGATGCTTTGTTCAAGCCCGTGGGAGGTCTGACTTTTCTGAATGGGAATGGAAAAAGAGGGGTGGAGGGGTGGGGGTACTGGGAGGAGAATAGGGAGGGGAAACTGGGTCTGTTTGTAAAATAAATGAATAAAATAAAATTAAATTAAAAAAGAATAAGTTTTTAAAAATTCAAACTAGCAGCCCATTGCTGGTAGGAGGAGACAGGCAGATCCCTGGAGCTTGCTGGTTAGCCAGACTAGTGAAATAGGTGAGCTGCGGGTTGAGGGAGAGCCTGTCTCAAGATTTAAGTTAGAGAATGATAAGGATATGCATATGCATGCCACACGCCTACACAAACACACACACACACACACACACACAGAAAGAGAAACATGCACATATGTATACTCACATATATACACAGAAACATGTGAACACGCACTCATAATTCAAAAACAATTTTTTTTTGGTTTTTCGAGACAGGATTTCTCTATAGCTTTGGGGCCTGTCCTGGAACTAGCTCTTGTAGACCAGACTGGCCTTGAACTCACAGAGATCTGCCTGCTTCTGCCTCCCGGGTACTGGAATCAAAGGTGTGTGCCACTACTTCCGGGCTTCAAAATTATTTTTTATTTAGTGGGAAAAGCCACTTTTTTCTTATTAAGATGTTTCAAAATCATCAGGATGTAATTTTTTCTTGATCAATTTATAAGATTAAAGCAGTCCCTATAAAAATTATGTCAGATATTTTCTTTTTCTAGACACAGGTAAGGTTACAAAAAGGGTCACTAAAACTTTTCCCTTTGCTTTTTTGATATTATACAATAATTTCATAATTTCTCTCTTCTTTTTCCTCCCACTGAACAGTTCCATAGCTCTCTCTTTGCTCACTTTCTAAGTTATAGCCTTTTTTTATTTTACTAATGCACAGGTAGGAAAACACTTAAAACAAACAGCTTTTTAGAGAAATGAAGTAGCACACATGAAGTGCAATCAAGATTGTTCTGGAAAAAGAAAGGAAGGAAGAAAGGTATTCAAATAGTTAAAAAAAAAAAAGATTGATCTGGAAAAATGGCTCAGCTTTTAAGAGCACTTATTGCTCTTGCAGAGGACCCGGGTTCGATGCTCCTGTATGATAGATCCCAATTATGCATAATTCCAATTTCAAAAGATCATTGCTCTCTTCTGGTCTCTGTGAGCATCAGGCACACATGTGGTACATGAACAAACATGCAGGCAAAACACTAATAAACACTTCTGAGAGAGATAGAGAGAGAGAGAGAGAGAGAGAGAGAGAGAGAGAACACTATTGTAGTCAATTGTAATCAATTCCAGCAAGTACAGATGGGAGGACCAGAAGTTATAGAGGATATGATGCCCTGTTCTGATCTCTGAGAGCAGCATATACACATACTGTGTGCATATGTACACGCAGAAAAAACATACACATTAAATACACACATAAATAAATCAAAATAAAAAATGCATACAAGAGCCTCTACAGTTGAAATAATGTAGCAGAGTGTTCCCTGTGCTTCATATTTTACACATTTTCTTTTAATTTTCAAGCTTGCCGTGTTTCATATTTTACGCATTTTCTTTTAATATTCAAGTCTGTAAAGGACTATAAATCTAGAAGCTGGAAAATGTTTGTCTTAAAGTCAGTAATCCAGTCCCACTGCCTGAAAACCCCCCTCAAGACTACCCATTTTGCCCTTCAACCGGCGTGAGCCTAGCATTCCTTCTACGCATGTGCGGGGCACGTTCAGCCAATCAGCGAGGGCCCTGCTTGAGGCCAGCTTTTCTCCCGCTCAAAACAGATGGCCTCCATGGAGGCCGTAGGCGCCATGCCACTTTCACGGATTAGACGCCGTGTGCGGGGGTTTACAGACATGAAGGCGGCCTTGTGGGATAACCGGTAAGCGATGTTCGGCTCTGGTGGAGTTTTTTGGGCAGGAGAAGGGGGGCCATTTGAGGAGGTGACGCTTAGTGAGGAAAATTCTCCCGAATGACAGCGGTTCCTGTGACCTCTGACAGGAAAATGGAGGCCAAGGACCTCAATAATGGCAGAGGATTGGGAATCTTTGGAGGACACAATCTTGTATCCTGGAGATAGAAGTGGAGAGTGGGGATAGGGGAGAAGGTGGGGGGCGGGTAGGAACGGGGTCGGGGTGTGGAGAGCAGAAGCACTTGGGGCTTCTCCTGTCCGGTGCCCAGAATCCATTAGAAGAAGACCCCTCTTCATTTTCCTCAGTATGATGTGCTAGTTTGTTATGGACTCTCGAGATGTTAGAGAGAAGGAAGTGGCAAAGAAGGAGAGAGAAAAAGAGGAGAGATTGCAAGGGATTAATAAGTAACTCAGGGTGGGTTCTAACCACTGATCCTCCAGCCTCAATCGCCCCCATATTGGGATTGTAGCCCTGCATTACCAAGTTCATCTTTTTCTGTCAGCTTTGATTTAGTAGGGTGGGATCTCCCTTCATAACTCAGGCCTGGGCTAACTGAACTGGCCTTGAACTTGCAATCTTCTGATGTTTGAAATCCTCAGCTTCTCCCTAAATCACTAAATCTCCAACTTCTCAAATATCAGGCCTTTCTACTTGAGTGGTGATGGTGGGGGTTTGTTGTAGATGGACAGAGGGTCTTTGTCCATGAATATTTGCCATGTTTGTTATCCTGGGTAGCACCATGACTTGACTTGAAAACTGAAATACAGGGCTGGAGAGATGGCTCAGAGGTTAAGAGCATTGGCTGCTCTCTCAGAGGTTCTGGGTTCAATTCCCAGCACTCACATGGTGGTTCACAACCATCTAGAATGAGATATAGTGCCTTCTTCTAGTGTGCAGGCATACATGCAGACAAAATACTGTATACATAACACTGTGTACATAATAAATCTTTAAAACTGAGATACAGACTTGCTCAATATCTAAAAGAATCTGTGAGAGATAGCACCAAAATCTAGATGTCCCAAAGGATGAGTGCAATCATATTTTGCTCATTTTTGGGTTGGGGGAACTCATATAGTGTAGGCTGTGACCAAGTTTGCCTTTTTAACATTGAGAAATGACAGGTTGTTAACTTTGATTCAAAAGTATACTTTTTTTCTTAAAAGAAAACAAGGTTGGGAGAAGAACATATTAAGTGGAATACATGGGGGAGATGGAGATGGGGAAATGGATATATATATCACATTTCATTGAATATGTATACGAAATTCTCAACAATAAATAAAAATTATTTTTAAAATGTAAAAAGAAAAAACTTAATCTTTCATTGAGCTAAGATAATTCTTATTTGATTTTTTGACATTTTTAATTTAGCCATTTATTTAAATGATACCTTTGGATTCAGATGACTTGTGAGGTTCTTTGCCTTTGTGTTTTAACTAAGAAAACCCCTGCCTGTTTGCCAGTAGGCGGCGTTTGAGGAGAGCTATGGCGGTACCATGTGAGGAGCGCTTAGCGCTTTTTGACTTCGATGATGAAGATGACCTGAATGTTTCCAAGAACTCTTTATCTGGAGGTACAGCATATCCAGTGTTGGGCATTGATTGTGTCCTGTAGTTCATTTGATTTTTACCTAGTCTCATATTTCCTGATACTTCATTTCTAACTTTATTTGTATATTTAAGTAATACATATAGCTCCTTTTGGCTTTGTAGTCCCAGTATACTAAGAAATAATTAATAACTTAAAATGGATTTACCTCAGGAAGACTTGAAAATTGTTCCTATAAAATGTTGGCAAATTGTGAATTGATTTCATAAAACCCGCAAAGAAATTATTTCATTTCTATAGCTGCTTCAAAAATTTACATTGATCAAACTCCTAGAGAAATGCAAATTAAGCTAGCACTTAGTTAACTAGTTCTAATATAATTAATTTCAAATGTGTTTTTCATTTTTATTGTTAATACAGAAAAGAGCCCATTCTTTGACAAAGATGAGAAGAAATGCCCTCCTGTGGCTGACCCAGATGAGAAGAAATGTCCTCCCGCAGTTGATGCAGATGAGAAGAGGAGCCCTCCTACAGCTGACGGAGAGAACAAATGCCCTCCTGCAGAAGTGGATGAAAATATGGAGTAATGTTTTCAAATATATATATATATATTTTGCCAGTTCAATAGAGTACTTCAGAAGTAGTGCCTGTAACCCCTGCTCTAGAGAGGTAGATGCAGGAAGATCAGAAATTCAAAAGAAATTCAAGATCATTCTCAGCTATATAGCTAGTTCAAGCCTAGCCTGGGCTCCCTGAGACCTTGCAATCACAAACACATAGCAACTATGACCACCTGCATAAAACCTTCTCTTTCACACACACATACACACATGAAAATAAGAAGGGAGCTAGTTGAGAAGAAGGGGTTCAGCAAAAGTGGGAGTCAGATAAAAGAAAGTAATGGGAATAGACATGTATGAATTGTTAACAATAAAATAATAAGTTTACTTTAGTTGTCTAAGAAATATTTTATGTTGTATTGCATATGACATTTGTTCCAAACTATGCATTACATATTATAAATAGTTAAAAGGGCTTTTTGTGTAGTATTCTGTGTGCTAGGCAAATGCTCTACCACTAAACTATATTTCCAGCTTTAATTTTTTTACTGTAATTTCTTCACAGAGATGAAGTGTGCATTATGTTGGATAAACTTAGAGGTATGTTTTTGAAGATAAGTATGTTAACAGAAAATTATTTAAAACTATATATTAATTTTTATAAAAGGAAATGTTAATCAGCATTCTGTATAGCTGTCATTTAATGCCTTCTTAGCATAGGATTGCACATAATTTTTGTGATTTAAAAACTTAAAATTTTCCACTTAAAGTTCTCCATAATTAAGAAAAGTAAGAATGATGCTTTTGAAACTATGAGCCTGAAGTAGAATTTTAGGAGAAAACCAGATGGGAAAGGCTTCAGCAGTTCTTTCTATTCACAGACTGAGTGATGGTGCACACAAGTGTTTCTGTGTATCAGTTTTTCATTCTTAAAATTTATTTTGTAGGACTCTTGCTGAATTCCCCTTTTTTTGTGAAGGAAAGCATAAACCTAAAAACGCTAATATAATTATTCATTATTATTTGTTAAGATTTATTTTCTTTTTAATTATGTGTCTCTGTGGGGGTAGAGTGGGATGTATGTGCACTTGTAAGTGTCTGCAGCATTCAGAAGATGGTGTAGAATATCCTGGAGCTGGACTTACAGGCACTTGTGAGCTTTGTAACATGGGTACTGGGAAACGTATTCAGGTCCTCTAGAAGAACAGCAAGTGCTTGTAACCACTGAGACACCTCTCCAACCCCTTTGCAATTACTTTTATACTAAAAGTAGTTGTGAGGGTACTGGAAAAATATCTTAGCAGTTAACATTGATTCCTTCCCTTGTAGATGACCTGAGTTTGGTTCCCAGTATCCATATGGTAGCTCATAAGCATTTATAACTCCAGTTCTGGAGGATCTGACTCCCTCTTCTGATCACTGTGTGCATATACAAGTTCTATGCATGCAAAACATTCATTCACATAAAGTAAAATGTCGAAAATAAAAGTTGTGAATGGGAAAGACTTGTAGTTTAAATACTATATCAGTTATATAAACTCTTTTTAAATATAATCTTTGTTAATTCCTTTGTTAACTTTTTTTATTGCTTGCTTCTTTTTAAGACAGGATCTTACTATGTAGTTGGAGCTGATCTGGAACTTGACATGAAGCCCAGTCTAGGCTTAAACTATAGATCTTCTTTGTCAGTTTCCTGGGTGCTAGAATTACAGGCATGAGCCTTCACACCCAGTTTGGGGAACGGTATTCTTTTTTTAAGAGTTAATAATAATTGATCCTTTTATAGGAATTCTTGATATCATGAAGTTTTCCCAGAGAGTTTCTTTTCCTATTTGGTAATGACAAAGAGTTTGTTTTCTAATATGTTACATAAATTTATGGTTATAAATTTGAAAGTATAAAATGTCATGTAATAGTATAGATTCATTATAGCTACTAAGTGGTTACTCTTTATGATAGAAAATATATGTTTAGCAAACATTATTTAAGGGATTGAATTTTTATGCACTGCTCTACTTAATGCTAAAAATCCCCTGTATAAAACTATTCCTAAATTATGCCCATATTTACATGAATAATTTTTTAGTTTTAATTTTGTGTATGTTATGTAGTTATGCACCTGTGTGCGCAAGTGTGTGGGTGCATGTGGCAGCCAGAGGTTGAAATTGGAAGATCTTCCTCAATTATTTAGTGTGTGTGTGTGTGTGTGTGTGTTGCCTGTATGTATGTATGTATGCACCACACACTTGCCCCTTGCCCTCAAAAGCCAGAAGAGGGCATTGAATCCTCTAGGAATGAAGGTATAGATGGTCGTGAGGCACCCACATGGGTCCTGGGAATTGAACCTAAGTCCTCTGGAAGAGTAACCAATATTCTTAACCACTGAGAAATCTCTCTCCAGCCCCTCCAATTATTTTTTGAGACAGGATCTCTTTGTATCTGAACCTCATCATTTCAACAAGACTGAATGAGCAAGGAGTCCCAGGGAACTACCTGCGTCTGCCCCTCGGTGCTGTGGTCAGGGGCACACAGTATCACATGTGGCTTTTATGTGGGTGGTGGCAATTCAGACTCGGGGCCTTGTGCTTGGCACAGCATGCATTTTAATCAATGAACCTTCTCCCCAGACCAAAGCTATTTTTCCATCCTTGGTCTTTTGCCTCTTTTTATATAAAATATATTTAGAATTGTTATTGACTATATTTTATACAAATATCTTACTTGTTTTAAAGATGACTTGGATTATATTTTTCAGGAAGTATTTTATATATTTAAAAGCTTGAGTTACGAGACTATACTTTGAGAATCATAGTTAAATTTTGACTTCTAATCACAGGTCAGAAGCTCACTCAAATTTCAGTTGAACAGTATTTTTTTAATTTAGAAATATTTCCCTTCTATTAAGGTGTTTGTAAAGCACTAAAAGTGTATTCTTGACCTTTTTCTCCTTGGTTATTATTGTGCCTCAGTTTTAAAATTATCTTCAATTAGGAAAATCAGAACTAAAGTAAGGTTGAACATTTGCCATCCAAAATATATAGGACAGAAATATTACAAATTTCAAAGTTTTGTGTATTTTATTTTATTTGCATTGACTAATTCATTAATAGTGCATCCCTAGTCTGAAAATGCTAAATTTCAAGTACTCTAAAATATGAAACCTTTTGGGCACCATGTTGGTGATATATTTCAATTTAATTTTAAGTGTCATTGATATTGTTTAATAATCTTTAGCCATATTTATATGTACATGAATATTTAGGCATAATTTGAGTTACTTTTAACATTAAGTTTTATTTTCAATATAGATAGGATTACTAATTCTCTTCTTGAAAAGATAAGAAGAATGCAAACATACTCAGAAACTGTTTCCAAACAGACTAGCTACAAAATGAAACAAGCTTGGGAAACCAAACAACAGCAAATGTAAGTTTGCTGGTATTTTTAGAGCCAAGTTTATATCATTTCTGAGTATACATTGGTGCAAGTTACTTATGAAAATAGTATCACCTGTCTATTGGAATCTCCAGTGGAAATGTTTCACTTGAATTTTCTCTAAGCATGCAGTACTATAACCCTTGCCTCCACAGAATTGATATATATTTCTTGGAAGTCACTGAAGATTTCATGTTCTTTCTTCCAAATGACAATTGAGAGTTATTAGTTTAAAAGTAATTCATGTTCACTCTGGAAATACATTAATTGGGTAAATGGTAGATTGCACATAAACTGTTAAATGTCTTTTACTTAACTGTGTGGACAATAAGAAAAAAGTTCATCTTATATAAAAAAAATGTGTATTTTAACTGACCTAACTGTTCTTTGTACTAAAATTTGGCTTACCAAAAGGGCTTAGTGAAATATTCCTACTTAGAAATAATTTACTTTTTTTGGTTTTTTGAAACAGAGTTACTCTGTGTTAGCCCTGACTGTCCTAGAACTTGATCTGTAGACCAAGCTGGCTTTGAACTCACAGAGATCTGCTTGCCACTGCCTCCTGAGTGCTGAGATTAAAGGCATGTGCCACTACCACCCAGTTGAAATAATCAACTTTTTTATTGGAACCTGTAGAAAAAAAATGAAAAATTTCTTGGAGATAAAATTAATCTTTCTGAGAAATGTATGTGTATGCATATATGTATGTTTGTGTGTGTTTATCAGGGATATATATATATATATATATATATATATACATACACATATATATGAGAGAAAGAATTTCCTTGGATTTCAAGAGGCGAACCATATGAGAAGACATTTAGTAAGGAAAAGAAGTACTTCTCGAATCTATATAAATCTAAGTTTATTTCTTGGGTTCCCATCTGAATATTTTTCCTGTTATGATTTCCTATTTCATAGTATAAAATATGTCAATTCAATTTTGTTTTGATTGTTTTCACATTTGTATAAAATATGAGCCTTTGTTGTTTTGTTTTACAGGTTGAAAGTTAACAATAAGTATTACCAGCAGTTTATGGATCTGTTTAAGCAGTGGGAGTTGGAGAAGCAGAAATATGAAAAACAACAAAAACACTTAATTGTTGGTATCACAGTTAGCTTTATAATTAATCCCTTATAACAAGGTTTCAAGTGGGAATCTACATGCTTGCCTTATATTAGACCTGTGAAACTAAACCAAGGTGCACTACGAATTGTTGCCCATGTTCTTGTCCTGCAGAACTATAAACCACAGAAGTATAGGCAAATAGCATACTTACAAAATCCACTGGGCTTCTTATATTAGTTGGGATTCTAGTAATTTCAAGCAAAACAAACTTTTTTTTAAACAACAAAGGTAGTTACTTCTTGCTGTGAAGTAAATCATGGGTAAGGTAGTTTTAGATCCACTTGAATGGGAACCAGGAAGTGTTTTAGTTAGTGTCTTTCTAGATGTTGTTGCATCTGTTTTTTGATCCTTATTAAAGTTACTAAGTTAATCCTATGTTTGCTACAATTTTAGAAAATGGAATGGACGGAGACAAACTTTCTCACTACCCTTGGTACAAAATTCCTGTAGAACAACATCCCTGAGTTATTTGTGGTCATTTGCCCATTTCCAAACAAAACACTGTACTAAGAATATGATTTGGTTTAACTTTTCTTTCCTTTATTTCTTTCCTCCCTCCTGCACTCTTTTCCTTTCTTTACTTCCCTTTTCCTGTTTCCCCCCTCTCTCTCCCATTCTACCCTGTACCCCTGCCTCCTCCCCTCTCTCTTTCATGTGACTTGAAATTGAAGTCAAGGCCTTTTACAAAGTAGTGAAGCACACCATGGTCAGACCACAGCACCAGTCCAGAAAATGGTTTACGTTTAATGTCCTGAGCTATAATACAACTCAAGTCCCGTTCACATATTGTATAGCTGTATTAGTTACTAGATTTCTTCTTTCATTGATTATAATCATCAAAAATTCAAATTTAAGATCGGGGGAACTGATCATATCAGATAATTTTGGAGTTGGTAGATCAGCTCAGTTTTGGAAATGTTAAGTTTGAGGTACACAAGAAATTTTTCTAGGAAGATAGACCATTGGTCTATGAATCTGGGATTGAGGAGAGCACCATGAACTAAAGATACAAAGTTGAAAATTCTTAGCTTAAATGCAGTTTTTAACCCATAAACCCAGATGAAATCACCAAGGGAATGATTGAAATGTATGTGGGAAGTGTGATGATAGGCCACTAGAGGCCTAGTTGGTAGAAAATAAGCTACCCCAATTGAAGGAAGTATTTGTAAAGAAAATACCTTTACTTGTGTCATATACTGCTTATAGACCAAATAAACTAGATTTAACAGCAGGAAGTCATTGGTGTATTGAGTAGAAGGTTTGGTTGGAAAAGTGAACAGAAAATTAGTTAGAATCAGGTGTGGTGGGGAACAACTTTAATTCTAACACTTGTAAAGCTAAGGCAGGTAGATCTCTAACTTCGAGAGCAGCCTTGTCTACTTAGTGTAGTACAAACAAGACAGTAAGACTGTCTGAAAAACAAAATGAAAATGAATTAGAATGGGTACAGGACAGAACAGAAAAGAAAGGAATGGCTAGTATGAGAACAAACAAAATAGAGGTTTGTAGAGGTTTTTTTTTTTTTTTTTTTTTTTGTTTGGTTTGACCTTTGAGCTAAGTGAAATAATGTGTTTTTGTGTTAAAAGGAATAATCTTTTTGTCTTTTTGGTTTTTTGAGACAGGGTTTCTCTGTGGAGTCCCGGTTGTCCTGGAACTCTTTCTGTAGATCAGGCTGGTCTCAAACTCACAGAGATCCTCCTGCCTCTGCCTCCTGAGTGCTGGCATTAAAGGCGTGCGCCACCACTGCCAGGCAATAGGAGTAATCTTTAGGACAAATTAATTATTTACTTTTTTTGTGATCATGGGGGCCTGAAATTAGAACCTCGAATTTCACGCATGGAAGAAAATGCTTCTTAGCACTAAGCTATATCTCCAGACCTTTCTTCCTTTTACTTTGCAACAGGGTTTTATTAAATTTCCCAGGCCGGCCTATAGTTCAGGCATGCCTTGACCTTGTGGTCCTTGTGCGTCATCCTCCCAAACAGCTGATATGGCAGACTGAAGTCAACTGGCCTGCCTAGAGAGTCAAATTCAAAATAAAAGGTAGAGGAGATAAAAACTGAATTCTTGAGAAAGAGTGGACATGGGAAACAAAACTGGGGAAAGAGTAAGTACGCTGTATCCTGAGAAATGAAAGCACAGGTAGATATAGGTTGGCAAAGAGAGACTCGATGTTTCCTTTATATGGTTTCTGTATACTTAGTGAAATAAGGTCATCAGGTGCTGAAAACGTTACCACCAGCTAGACTAGCTAGAACTGAAGTTTCCAAACTTGGGCTTTAGAAAAGTACAAGCAAAAGAGTTAAAATGAGCTCTATTGTAGACACTGAGATTTCAAAGAGTAAGCTGTTACATGGATATGAAGATGTTCTGCTTGTCCTTATGTGGTGGTGCACGCCAGTAATATCAGATAGTTAGGACATTGAGGAGGGAGCACAAGTCCCAGTCGGCATGGACAGCATAGGGTGATGTGACTCTGTCCTAAAAGTTAAATAATTCCTATCTGATGACTCCTAGGATCACTATATTGAAAATTAGTTATTTTTAAAATTACTTAAACTTAGATGTAATTTTTTGTCAAAGTAAAATGTTAAATGTATTCATTTTAAAATTATTCCTTTTGACTTCAGAATGGAGTTATTCTCTTGCTTTAAGGAATGTAGCTTAAAGACACTATGTTTACCTATAATATATGAAGCCTAAAAGAACAATAAACTTATTTTGCCAAAATATTATTATATAAGTTTTCTTTTATGTTTGTAGAATATTTTACAACAACAGAAAATGATGCTAAGACAGTGTAAAATTAAACAAAACCAGAGAATGAAACTAGTTATGCAGATGTATACACAATACATACAGGTATGTTGTACCAAGAAACATAACACCATAGAAAATATGTGTATAATTTTTTGCAAGTTGATTAAAGAAACATTTTAATATAAAGTTTTAACTGTTTTTCAGTTTGAATTGTTATGGACAAAAGTTTTAAGTATGACTGTAGAGTTCTAATTGTTTTATGATGATTATTCAAGATAGGAAATGGCAAATTAGTATTTTTACCTAGCAATGTACTTATGCATCATATTCATAGCTGATTAACACTTGGATCATCATTCCATTTATCTGAGATAAGTCTATTTATCTTTTCTACATTATCTTCTGCATTTACATCACCAGTGTTTGTTGATTAGGAAATACTAAACTGAAATTATGGACTTTTCTTTTTGTTTTCAAAAGTGTTGTAGAAGTATTCTGACATATTTAGTTCCAGAACTGTTGCAATGACCAAAATTGTGTTTGCTACTTTATAATCATTAGAGATAGGCAAGAAAGTACTAGACAGTTGAGGAGATTTTTAGATTGAGAGTTGTCTATTTATACATAAACATATTACTAAACTTGAGTCTAAATAGAGAAATAGTTTTAAAAGGATTTAAAAAGGTATGTTTTTAAAAAATTTAAATACCTTTCATGAAAATAAAAGTTATTTTAAGTGTTTTCAGGGCGAGAACCTTTCAACTTGCTCTAATGTTCCCAAGGAACAGTTTTTTTTTATTGTTATCAATGTTTGATAAAGCTTTCATTAAATAGTATCATCAGTAAATGTTTCCATTTACCATTAGGAACATTAGTGTAATATTTAACTCTTCCATATCTTTTAAGTTCTCAGATTGAGTTATTAGTAGATTCAGTATTTTTCTCTGTGCAGTGGCTCATTATTTCATCAAATCTTTCTTACCACTATTAACCTTAGCTCATTCTTTGTGCTACTAACCCTTATCATCTTTGTACTATGAAAACTCTTAAGTGATCTCTGTTCCTCAGTTCATTCTTCATAGGTCTGACATGTTGTCTTTCTATAACATCTCATTCTTCCTGCAAATCCATCAGTGATTTCTCATTTTTATAGATTTTTCAAATACATTTGAGATTCCCCATGACTGAGTCTTTTTAAACATCATTTACTACATGTACCCGTTATTCCCACGGCTACACAATTGCTTTGTCTGATCCCACAGACTGTACTTCTGTGCTTTGGTAATATTCTTCTCCAATATGTTTAATTCCTTCTTATCTATTGTTATTTATTTGCCAACTAAACTAGAATCATTTACCAGTCTGTGCTCCATATGTACAGAAAGCTGCATTTATCTTTGCATTTTAACTTATTTATATTGTTGTTTATGTTTTCCTCACTGGAGAAAAAAGAAGTAACATTCTATTACTATTACTATTATTATTATTTAGTTTATTCATAGCACTTAATGTAATACTTTTGGGGACAATAGGAAGTGTAACAATAGTTTTTTGAGTGATATCAAATGTTTAAATTGTATTTCTTTTGGTTGGGTGTGATGATACATGTCTATAATGCTACTATTAAGGAGGCTAGTATATCAAGTTTTAGGCTTGATTGAGCTATATAGTGAGACCTTGCCTTAAAAAAATGCTGCATTTATATGAAGTTTTTAAATGCAAAAAACTCTGCATCGCTAAAATGTGATATTTTTGAGACAGGTGTCCCTATATAGACTTATCAGGCCTGGGACTCGCTTTGTAAACCAGGCAAGCCTTGAACTCACAGAGATCCACCTGCCTTGGCCTTACAAGTGCTTGGATTAAAGAAGTGCACCACTATATGCAGGTTAAAAATGAAATTCTTAACTTACTTAAATTAAAAAAGATCTCCATAGTATGGATCATTTTCTTTCCTGTAATGAATACATGTCACATTTACCACTAGTCCCGATAATATAACCTGACATTCGGAAACATCCTAGAAAATTTCAAAATTATCTTATTCATGGGACCTTGCAGTCTTTATGCAGATATCTCTTTTTCTGCTCTTCTTTTTTTTTGAGACAAGTTCTCACCATGTTGTTCAGGCTTGCTTGTAGATCTCTAGTCTCCTTCTTGAACCTTCAGAATACCTAGGCACAGCGTTTTCTTGTTGTTTGTTTGTTTGTTTTTGATCTACCTGGACCTTAACAGTTCATTAAATCATTTTTGGTGGAAAGTATGCTAATTGTGCCTCTTTAAAAATATTTGATTCGTGACTGATATATTTTTCTTTATTATATATTATTATTCATGTATTATTTACATTGTTTTTGAAAATTGGACTAAATCATGATCATTATTTGAGTATTAATAAATTCTCACTTGTGAAAATCAGTTTTAAAATTTAGAATCTAAGATGAAACATTATGGTTTATAACTGAACTCACTTTTTGTGTTTTATATCTTGAAGAACCTGAAGCATAAGAATAATAATAAGTTTACTGATTCATTCACTGAACTTAAAGAGGAGATAGCTGAGTATCAAAGAAAATATATGATGAAAACTGTAAGTTATATTTTCAGCTATAAATTTTATAACTTAGAAGAAATATTTTATTTACTAAAATATGCATAATAACTAAAATCATTGTTTATTTTCTCCTTCTGTGAGACAGCAGAAACAAGAGATTGCAAATATTAGGAAGTCTCTTCAATCTATACTATTTTCATGATTCTTTGAAGAAAACTTGAACCTGTGTGAAACAATATAATTTTAATGTTAGATAAAAACATGTTTTATGGTGGAAATTCAGTTTAAATTTAAATGAAAACAGGCAAATGACTAATACCTGTCCTTATGTATGAAGGTTTTCACTCTTCTTGTTAAGTAGTGAGATTTTTCTTTCCAAAAATGTGAATTAACGTTTGTGAATAAAGATTAGTTTTTTTTTCTTTTGGCATCAGCATATTGCTTTTTTTTTTATTTTGAGACATGATCTCCCCATGTGACCCAGACTGGTCTCCCATTTCTGGGCTCAAGTGATTCTCCACCTTAACCTTCAATATACCTGTGATTTTTAATTTTTATTTTTCTAAGATATGTATAATTCTTATGTGTTTGTACATATGAATAGTATTTATCTCAAAGTTGAAAATGTTTACTGAATCTTCATAAAAAGCAGCAGCAAAAGATTAGAAATTCTCAAAAGCTTTTAAAATCTATACTATTGTACTGTTCAAATAAAATATAAAAAGGCATGTGCCTGGCAACATTCCTCTGTAGCAAAGTTTCAACTCTTTTATTGCAATAGTGAATTTATTTCTCCAATACTGTCAAATAATTTTATTGTCAATAAAGAAAAAAATTTAAGTTTTGTCTTCAGTATATTTTTATCACTCATAAAAGGTAGAAAAATACTATTATGGAATGTTTGTAGTGAGGGGCTGCGGGCAGGCCTGCTTTTCATCCCGCCCAGCTCCCGCACGGCTAGCTTAGTCCCAGAAATAACAACACACAAATTGTATTCATTTAAGCACTGCCTGGCCCATTATCTCTAGAGAGTTAGTTACTGACTAACTCTCATATCTTGATATTAACCCATTTCTAATAATCTGTGTAGCACTTACCGGAAAAGATTTAGCATGTCTGACCTGGTGGCTGGCTCCATGGCGTCTGCCTCATAGCCCTCTTCCCAGCATTCTGTTTTGTTTTCTCCGCCTACTTAATTTTCTGTCCTATCAAGGGGCCAAGGCAGTCTCTTTATTGACCAATGGAAATAACACAATAGACAGATAACCCTCCTCCATCATTTCCCTTTTTTCTGTTTAAACAAAAAAGAAAGGCTTTTATTTTAACATATTAAAATTACATATAACAAAACAGTTATCAAGCAAGAATTACAGTCACAATATTTATAACTATATCTTTATCATAATAATGGAAAACTATAATTATGACTATCCATTCTTCAACTCCATCAAAGAAACTAAAGCTAATTGGCCTAGCGGTGATTTAATTAATACAGTTTCTGTGTGGTTGTTTCAGGTCTGAGCTGCCAAGCGTCTGGAACGACCAAGCGGCCTTCCTACAACACTAGTGTAGTGGGAACTTCCTAGAATCTATGAGAGACCCTAGTGAGGGCCCGTAGTAGTGGAGAATACAGAGTTGGAACTGGACATCTTTTGTAGCTAGGCAAGGGTTTCAGTAAGTAGCTGGGGTTGTATTCATCAAGTTTTTGGCTGACAGGGTTCTGCGGAGATCCTGAAACAATCCAGGCTCGTGCTAAAACAGAAGATTGCCTTGCCAAAACTGACAGCAGGTTTGGGGGTGGCATTGCTGAGGACAACATTCACACAGCTCATTGAACATAAAGAGGTTGAACTGCTGCCTGCGTGGAGCCTTTACCCCGACGATCTAGTTTCTAGTGTGGGAAGGTACTCTTCAGGTCACTGAAAGAGAAACGTAGACACCAACCCAGCCACAAAACCATCGACCTACAATCTGTCTGCAAGATGTGGGGATGGTGGTGCGGAACTTGTGAGACTTGTCAACCAATGTCTGGTTTAGCTTGAGGTTCATGTCCCAAGAAGGAGTCCATGCCCAACAATCCCTGGATAGCCCAGAGACTTAAGGTAGAACCAAACACGATAGCCAAAATAAATAAATAAATAAATAAATAAATAAATAAAAGCAATGAAATTATTCCTAATAATATTCTGCTATACTCATAGATTGGTGCCCTGTCCGGTCATCCTCAGAGAGGCTTCCTCTAGCAGCAGATGAGAGTTGGTGCAGAGACCCAGAGCTAGACATATGGAGTCTAAATTGGAGGTCTCCATTTGGTCCCTCCCATGGGAGCTCAGGAAAACCTGTGGAGGAGGGGAAGGAAAGATTATAGGAGTCAGAGGGGATGGAAGACACCAGGAGAACATGGCCCACTGTATCAATTCTGCTGGTTTCAAATGGACTCACAGAGACTGAAGTGACAAGCACAGGGCCTGCATGGGTCTATACCAGGTCTTCTCTGTACATGTTATGGATGCTAGCTTGGTGTTCTTGTGAGAGCAGGTGTGTCTCAGACTTTTGTCTGCCTTTGGGACTCTTCAGACTCATTGAGGACCTTGTCTTGGAGACCTGATCCTTTCTGAATGGGAAAGGAGGGGGATTAGATCTGGGGGGAAAGGGGAGAGTGTGGGGAGCTGGGAGGAGTGGAGGAAGGGGAAACTGGGATGTATTATATAAGAGATTTTTAAAAATTTCAATAAAAAACCAGAAATCTTTAGACTAGTTTATGCATATCGGGAGTCAGTCGATTTTATCACTGATTTCATTGTTATCCTTCACCATACACTGAGACAATAGAAGTTGTTTAATTTTAGCATAGATCCTTTCTCTTTTTTTTTGTTAATTTATCCAGAAATGGTAGGAGCAACTGACCAGCATCATAATTTTCCTTATTTTTCCACAAATTGTCAAAAATTTTACACAGAGTCTCCAAATCTGCTGCTTCTCACAGTAGATGAATCAGAATAATCATTTTCATACTTTCTAAAGCACATTGATGGAAATGGAAGTTGCTATCCCACCCAACCCCATAGTCATTCAGTCCCAAATGAACACACAGAGGCTTATACCAATTACAAATTGTTTGACCTATTAGTTTAGGCTTATCATTAACTAGCGCTCTCTCTCTCTCTCTCTCTCTCTCTCTCTCTCTCTCTCTCTCTCTCCCCTCCCTCCCTCTCTCTCTTTCTCTCTCTCCCCTCTGATTCTAGCAATGACAGTGGCTAGTGCTTTTTAAAATTATTTCATGTATATGGATATTTCTTTGTTTTGTTTTTTTGTTTTGGTTTGGTTTTTTGAGATAGGGTCTCATCACGAAGCTTTAACTGACTTGGAACTCACTAAACAGACCAGGATAGCCTCAAATTCATAGAGATTCACTTGCCTTTATCTCCAGAGTATTAGAATTAGGACATTGGAATCACGAGCTACAATGTCCAGCTATATATGGGTGCTTTGTTTGTGTATATGTGCACCACTTGCATTCCTGATGTGGGAGAGGACAGAAGAGTGCATTGGAGCCCAGAAAACTGGAGATTCGGATGGATGTGAGTGGCCATGTGGTGCTGGGAACTGAATCCAGGCCCTTACAAAGAGCAGAAAGTGTTTTGAACTGCTCTAGCCTCCTAACTAGTGCATATGTTTATCACCAAGCATAATTTGGAGGAGCAGAGCAGGGACATGGGTTTATGTCACACTTCCCAAGACAAACCCCTGAGCCTATCAGAAAAAAAATATAGGAAAGTGACCCCCTTACATCCAAACTTAGTATACCCCAAGGGCACACCTATCTGATGCCAGGAGGCAGAGTCAGTCATAGGGAGGGTACCATGAAGTGTCGGGATCAGGTGCTAGCCCGGACCCTCAATTATTTCTCTACCAGACCCCAACATAATCTACCTCTCTCTGGATCGGCGTGGAGGCATGGAAATAAAGACACGACTCACATGATTCTCCAAACAGTCTTTATACCAAAACTTAACTTAGGGGAAATACATTAGCATTCTGTCTCCTAGGTAACCAGGTGAATGGCTTTCAGTCACATCCACAACTACCTGTCTACTGTGTGTGCTAGCGGTCACATAGGTTTGAATTAGCATTCCTGTTAGGCATCCTCCAAATTGCAAAAAAAGGAGCAACAACATCCTGACCTTTTGTTAAGGTAGTGGCAGCCTGTCAGGTATGATATGTGACTGCTTTGGATACCCACCATAGCCCAAGAACTTGGCTGTCACATCATGTAGAAATATGGGCCTACAATCCACTCTCTGTTATTAATTTTAATAAAGTCTGTGCTTCTGCAATAGGACAGAACAATCATGCCAGGTTTGGGCAAAGACCTCTTCATTTACCCAAATTTCCCCGTCTTTGGAACAGGCATTTATATATGCAAGCTCCTGTCTTAAGCATCTGGAGAGGAGAAACTTCAAACCCGTCATTGACTGCTGATCTCTGTGAAGAAAAGATATTAAAGGAGAGAGATACTTTTGGGCCCTGTGTCTTGGAGCCATACTTCTTGTCAGGATTAATTATAATGCTTTATGAATAATCATGCTCCCAAAGGCTATAGTCTCCTATTTAAAGGAGAAGAGAATTACCTGAGTTGAGAATGCTTCTTCAGCTAGTTTAGTGCAGCTCTTAAATCTTTTACGTCGTATCAAAATCTAAAAAAAAAAAATAAAAATCTAAAATTCTTAACATTCTTAACATATGGATTAACTCCCAACATTTACAGGGTGTGTCAAACTTTTATCAGCAGTTGACATGCCAATATCATAATTCTCAGCATTGTTGGTCAATACCAACTTTTCTGAATATCTTTGTCAGTACCATAATTCTCAGCATTGTCAGTCAATACCAACTTTTCCAAATCTCTTTAGGTCAGCACCATGATTCTCAGTATTATTGGTCAATACCAACTTTTCTCAACATCTTATATACGTTACAAATATCATATCAATACCAGTAAGAGTACAATGACATTGTTATCAAATATCAGTTCCAGTCTCTGAATAGCAGTTAAACCCTTAGTCTGCCCCCTTCTTAAGTGAAGATGGGCTTCAGTCATTTGTTATTTTGAGTCTCTCTTCCCCAAAGAGGAAAGCTTAGTTCTTAGTTCTTAGGTTCAATATTTTAATCAAAATGAGTTCTGTGTCTCAAAGATTAAAACAGTCAGATATTCAGTCTGCATCTCAGCTCCAAAGCAAACAGGATTCAAACTGCAGAAAATTGTAGTCACCATGGTCAGGTCATCTCACCAGGGCCTCTGGGTCTGTGTGTGTCCCAGGTGTCTGGAAGCAGCTCAGCATCTGGCCCTCAGTGCAGCATGGCACCCTGTAGTATAGAGCGGTAGTAGTAGGTCCTGTCAGACCCTCCTCTCTGTGGGGGTGGGGAAGACTGGACCATGGACTCTTCTTCAACTCCTCTATGGGGTGTTTGCAGCTATGATGTCATTAGGTCTGCCACTTCTTTACTGTATATGCAGTCATCTCATCCAGCTTTTATTTTCTTTCTATGAAAAAAAGAATATAAACACATCCTCAACCATATATATATATATATATATATATATATATATATATATATATATATATATATGTCGGATCTTTTTATAATTCATTGCAAGGGCTTTTTCACCTTGCCTTAGCAAAGGTCACCTTGGTGCCATTATGTCAGATCTGTCTGTAGCAATCTGTCTGTAACGTTTATAAG